CACCTTTGACTTCAGTGTCCTATTATACATGGTATTTGAAGATAAATGCACAACATTTAACTTCTGATTTGGCTTACAAATTTCCAACTCCTTTTATGTCATGCTGCCAAACTAAGAAATTTGCCCTGATTTGTCTCCTGTGAAACTGAACTCTAGATACCACCTATTTGGCTGACACTTATAAAAAGTAACTTTGCCACAATCCCTCCCTTCCCCTACCCCCGCCCACAAAAAATAATGCAGAATCTGGAAAGATTGTTTCCCTATGCTGGGGCACAGTGGGGCTAGTGTCCTTCAGATGATTGATATTGGATTGAAGGAGTTTATTTCCTATAATCTCCTTTTCTGAGATGCTGTTTGGACCACATGAGAGGTTCCTTATTCCTTTGCGGCTTTCGGTGTGCTTATAGTTGAGCTCTAGGCATATCAAGAAAAGACAAGGAAGACACCAGGGCTGAACAGTGATCCTAGAAGGCTTGACCTTATTATTGAAAGTCTATTCAGGAAGAATGTTTCTTTAAGATTTATGAATTTATTGTTTTCTATATCATCTTATCTAGGTTCATAAGGATACATAAGAAAACAGTGAATACGCAAGTGCTGAAAAGAGAGAAAGAAAGTGTTGAATAGGGTGGAGAGGAAGCAGCAGTTATAGGTAAAGTTCTGAGATCCAAGCATCTCAAGGCTTTAGGCCTCATCTGGATTCGCACAATTGATGGTATCAGTGCACAATAGGAAAGAAAACCCAGAGACAGTAAGAAATAATCAAAAGCTAACAGGAAAATAGAGGAAAACAAAGACAGAAAGAGTTACTTTTGGATAGGAAGGTGAACTGAGAAAGTGCCAATAGGGAAGTGGGAACGTGAGACAGGAAAGGGAAAATGAGATAGAGAAGGGAAAGTAACCAACTCAGGTTGCATTAAGGAGCATTTTACCACAGGATACAATGACAAGGAGGTTCCTACCATAGACAACTGTGTATCAGTCCTGTTAGGGACCTCAGCGATTTGTGTAGAATATACCACAGAGGTCTCTCACTTGGTAGGCAGCAGACAATTTGATAAGCAGGGAAACTGGGGTGCTTATCCACTAACTCCAAACTGACTCTGAGTTGACTGAAGTCTGCTCCTAGGGACATTAGCTCTGACATTAGGTTGCCCTAAGCATACCTTTGCAGGCAGACAAACCCTGAGACAGAGAGTTATAAATGGTTGAAGTAAGATACAATCTATATACATGCATGGAAACAGTAAATGGCAAGGGGTTATTGAAGAGGCACCAAAGGCATCTTTATGATACGTTCATGTCAGGTATCAAAGACTAATTCAAAGATGCTCTACATGGCTTGAGCTAGGACATGGGCTAGTGAGGATCCTAGGCATCTCACTCTCAAGAAAGCACTCACTCCCAGGGTCATCACTTGCAGGGTCCACACTTGAGTAACTCTTTAAGCTGTGTGTCCTAGATGCCCCACCTGTCTCAGCAATGCTTAGTGAAAACATCGAACATGTCAGTCATCCAAAAAACTTGCACTCCTCCCCCAAATAAAGTTGGAAAAAGGGAGAGTTGGGTATCTTCCCTACCAGAAAAAAAAGGCTGACATGAAAGAGATAAAAAGTAGATCCAAGTCAGTAGGCTAAAACTCAGGTTATCTTCTTCCCCACATAGAGAGACAGTCAACTCCAGAAAATTTAACTGAGTTAGGAGAGGTCCCGTAGCTGGTTAGTGATCTAACAAGGCATGGAACCAGTCCTTTTGTAGCTTCCTCACCACCCAGTAATTGGCTCTTTTGCTAACTTCATGATGCTCTTGAGAGTAGATAGAATAACTAGAATTGGTGATACCAATATAAGTGACTAGACTAAGCCTCCTTATAAGACTAATTTACAGATGGTACAAAGGTGTTTATCCTCCACTAGCCCTCAAGTCCTTCAATCACTGAGAAAGCCCTTCTTCCTAAGAGGATGATGAGATTTTACTTCAGTATTTTTCTAACAGACAAGATCCAGGTCTGACACTGACCACACAAATGACCAATCAATGTACAACTAATGAGAATAGCCGTCATGTTCTTTGTTCTGAGACAAGAGACACTCTAGATATATTTCATGGGAGGTAGGGGGAGAGATGTCCCTAAAGAGCAAAAGGCAGCTGAACCCATTCTAGAAGGCAAAATGGCAGTAACCATTCAAGGCAAAAGGCTGAATCCTTTCTAGAAGGCAAAAGGAGGTAGTAGTAACCCATTCGAGAAGTAGAGTCAGGCCTCAGAGCGTATAATGCCCTTTTCTTCTTAGGATATGGCAAGATATTTTAGAGCGTGATGCCCTGCTGGTGACACATACACTTTAGTCACAGCAGAAGGTAGATCATGTAAGAGAAACGTTGCCAACCCACAATTCAATGTGGTATGTGTCTGTCTCTTTAAGTCATCCTCATTGGGCCCACCCTCAGTTTCCTGAGTTCTAAAGTAAGTTGACTTCCTCTGTATGCTAGTGGGAAAGAGTCCACTGCACTCACAAGCAAAGTGAAAGCCGCAAGCTGGGCCTCCTGTAGCCAACTTCAGAGCCTGTCACCAGGAAAGGTGAGCATGAACTTGGGAGCTGGTTGGAGGGGGTAAGAACCAGAAAGAACATGCTTTCTAGAGAGTGTTTACTGCCTGAGCACCTGCATTTTCTAAGTTACCATGTGGGTAAGCAAGATTTGGAACAATCAAGATCATGCTTTCAGTTTTTTAAGCAGAGCAAGTTCAGAGGAACTTTTAGGAGCATCTTCTTCAAATCTGGAGCATACTTCTATTGAGGAGTTAAACCGGTCTCCTTTCACACTCCCTCAACATGGTAAGAGAAGAGTGTGCTAGAACTATTTCCAATAATAAAATATTGTTTAGGGGGCATTAAACATTTCTCAAGCTACATATTCAGCAAAGATGAGAGATATTTCTGTGGCCCCATAAGCAATCTAGCCTCAGAGTGAGTAACAATGTGACAAGACTAAGTATATCTGAACTCTCTTCCCTCCTCACTGTTTACAGTAGAGGGTCCTGAGGAGACATCCAGGACTAGAACCTTGGTCTTCAACCTCTTTCTTTTAATGGTCTCTTAAACATCTGCTCCCTAATTCAAGCTTCTCCTATCCCAGCAACAGGAACATCTCAAATTCCTCATCTGTACAATGAAAGGGTTTGGAAAAACTGATTCCCAAACTCTGAGTTGTGGACTGACTACATCAGAAACATCTGATATATGAATCAGAATCTCTGAGGATGGGTCTAAAAATGTAAATTTTTAAAAATATTCAAGTAATTCTGAAAAACAGCCCAGGAGGTCAAGGTTTATGGTAAGCCGTGATAGTGCTACTGCACTTCAGCCTGGGTGACAGAGTAAGATCCTGACTCCAAAAAAAAGAAAGAATAGGAGATTGTATATATTTATATTCCTCAATAATTAATAGCCATTTGTCACCTCAGATTTCAGTTGCCATTTACTCGCCTCTAAAAAACTATTTTAAATAATTTCAGTCCCCTTTTTAAACTATATGGAAAATTCCAATGGCATACAAAGAGTTCTGTGGATTCTTTGTTGCACACTTTCTCATTTTCATATTTGACAAAGACTTCTTGCTTCAGCTAAATTCTTATTCTTTGCTCTGAATCTTGTGGCTACTTCTTCAATTCTGCTCTGGTGTCAATTATGGGAGTTCTGATTTTTACAGGCAAAATAAGTAATCACAAAACACCCATGAAGTAAACTTTATTGAAGGCTTTGGAGAGGTAGCAGAGGAGTTCCCGCTGAAACAGAAACCCATTCTCAAAAGTCCCTCGGCCAGAGACAAGTTATTCAGCTAACCTCTCTCTGCTCTTCCCTCATGTGTGGTGCTGATAGGAGAGAACACAGGTATCTAGGATGACCAGGGTGGAAAACACAAAAAGTCAGCGTTTGATGTGGATGGAGAGGTGCAGATCGAAATGTGAGAGATGATTAATACGCATAGGAGGGGAAGCACAGAATGAGTAGGAAAATCCCTGAAATGTGCTGTTTGTGAAGTAGCTGACTGGGTGGGGATTAACTGGAAATGAGGTGGATGAAGTAGATAAGGGGAGATGTGTATGTGTGTTCTGTTGCTCATGTGATCAGGCAAACTGGATCATGGAATATTTAATTGTATTAAACAATGTTAGAATTCGGCATAATCACTTTATTTTTTAAGCACCTTATATGTGGAAAGGGTAAGAACATCAGCAATTGAAAGGGAGTATCCCAGTCTTTCCAGCACAGAGATCATATTTAGACATATCTAAACAAGATAAATTATTTGACTTTAAGAGAGCAGAGTCAAAGACTCTCCAGATCTGCTTGGGAGATATGTTTGTTTTCAAATTTTCAAAAGAAAAATTCCAATCATCTTATTGTTTGTTTCCCAGACCAACTACCCAAAGGACTTAGTGACCTAAGTCACCGGGTAAATTTTCTGGCTCTCAGGATTTACCTAAGTTTCCCTAGTGCTGAAGTCCCTGGAAAAACTTATCTAATACGTATCTATAGTGGATGCCACAGATATAGAGTTACCTGGAAAAAATTAATACCTAAAGCTTACCCCTTGGCATGGAGTAAATGTTATAGCCTACCCTCTGCTATTTTGCATTTGGAGTCCCTGAAAAGACAAACCCAAGCTCACCAAATGTTCTCACAGTATTGTTCCAACTCAAAGTCAGGATGCTGGCCCTTCCAATGTTATTCTCTAAAATTCTGCTATTACCTCTAAAGAAAGACAAACAATTTATTGTAACAGACAAAATGTACTAGTCTTCTCTGTAGCCATGTCCCCTTCCCAAAGACACACACCTAGTTTTCTTTTTTAGATCCTCGCAGGCAGAAATCATGTCTTTTCACTGTGCTGTGACTTGCTCTTTGGACTTTGTCTGAACACTGTAGGTGGTGATGCCTATTTAAGGAATAAATAAATGAATAAACAAATTGTGTTTTGGACTCTTTCAGGTAAGCATGGGAGGACAAAAGACGGCAATAGATGAAGAAAATGTCTATGGTAAGACTATATTCCTGTATCGCATGCTTGTCCCCCTGGGTCTGAGCTGAGTTTAATAAGACTGGGGATTACTCAAGACCAAATAGAAAAAAATCCCAGAGGTGTCTTGACCCTAGGTTAAAAACAGCAAGAGTCCTGAGATTTGTATTTTAGCTGGGTATCTGCTGTGAGATATTAAGTTCTTTGACTAGCCTGCCCCTTGGTTCCTGCAGTATATACTGTGGGTAATAAACCTACTCTGCTCTCCACAGAAGTAGATACAGAGGTTATCAAATCATATGCTAGCTAACATGAACAATCTTTATCACATAGAATATTTAGAGAACAATGATAGAGGGTTTAAATGGGGACTCTTTTTAGGCAGCAGGTTTAAGAGAGAGACGAGTGGGAAAGGGAGGGAGAAAAGGAAGAAGAAAAGAGACATCTAACCTTCTCAACAATCCTATAAAAACCAACCCTATGTTATTCTCACTTTTGCAGAAGAGGTTTAACACTAAGATGAGTCAACTTCCCCAATGTTACACAAATAGCACATGGTAGGGCAGTAATTCAAACCACAGTGTCTGGGACCCCAGATTACTCTCCACGACCAATCAGTATGCTCCTCCCCCACATGCCACTGCCTTACCTGGGAGAACATTGCAGAGTCCATTGAGGCTGTCGAATATGAAACAGGCCTGCATGTGTGTGGATGACCAGAGATGATGTAGATGAAGTAATGGCCTGAATTTCTAAAGGAGCATTTCCTGAAATATTCTACCATAGTTGGAGCATCTGCAGGCGCATGTAGACAATTCAAATGCAGAAGAAAAAGATGCAGATAAAGTCCCAGGAGTTCAAATCTCTATTCTTCCTTTCTCTCTCTCTCTCTCTCTCTCTCTCTCAAAGAAAAAGATTCCAGTTCCCAAGGAAAGTTGAACTTGTTTTAACTTATGTAAGATTATAAATATGTTGTCCCACAGGCTTAGAAGAGGAAAGTCGGTCCTTCCTGGGGCCCACATTGCGGCTCATCCTGGTGGGGAAAACAGGCGCAGGTAAGAGCGCCACCGGAAACAGCATCCTGGGACAGCAAGAGTTCTGCTCCAGACTCAGTCCCACCCCCGTGACCAGAGCCTGCGTCACGGCCAGCCGGAAGAGGGCTAAGTGGCACGTGGAAATCACAGACACCCCAGACATTTTCCGCTCCGAAATCCCCCAGACAGACCCCGAGTACGAGGAGAGAGGTCGCTGCTACCTGCTCTCTGCCCCCGGGCCCCACGCCCTGCTCCTGGTGACCCAGCTGGGCCGGTACACTGCCCAGGACCAGCAGGCTGTGAAGGCCGTGCGGGACATGTTCGGGGAGGGCATCCTGAAGCGAGTGGTCGTCGTCTTCACCAGGAAGGAGGACCTGGGCGAGAGCTCTCTGCAGGATTACGTGCGCTGCACCGACAACCAGGCCCTGCGGGAGCTGGTGGCCGAGTGCGAGGGGCGGGTCTGCGCCTTTGACAACCGAGCCACTGGCCGGGAGCAGGAGGCCCAGGTGGAGGAGCTGCTGGGGCTGGTGGAGGGCCTGGTGAGGGAGCGCGGGGGCGCCCACTACACCAACGAGGTGTACGACCTGGCGCAGGCCCTGCACTGGGCGAGCCCGGAGGAGAGACTCCGGAGGGTGGCGGAGACGGTGGCGGCCCGCGTGCAGAGGCCCAAGGGA